TAAAACCCATCTGCCATTTATTTGACCAACTCACTAAATGATCTAAATCCTTTAGTAAATCAGCAGCATCCTCTTCACAGTTAACAACACCCAAGAGCTTTAATATCATCTACAAATTTAAGTAATTTATTGACTATTCCTTCATCTATGTGATTGATGTAAAGCAAAAAGAGTAAAAGTCCTAAGACTGAGCCCTGAGGTACCCCACTTGTAACATTAATCCAGTTTGACTGAATTCCATTTATAACAACCCTTTGCTTTATTCCATCCAGCCATTCTTCTATCCAATTTGTTAACTTATCCCCCACACCTACAGAGGTAATTTTTTACAAGCCTTTTATGTGGCACCTTGTCAAATGCTTTTTGAAAATCCAGATACACCAAATCTACACCTTTACCCTCATCTTCATAAGCATTAACCTTTTCAAAAAGTGTCGAAAGATTTGTAAGGCAAGATGTTCCCTTAGTGAAGCCATGTTGACTATTCAATAACATTCTAAACTTCATTAAATGACTTTGCAAAGCATCTTTTATCAGACTTTCTAAACCTTTTCCCACAACTGATGTAAGACTAATGGGCCTATAATTACTCGGACAATTTTTATCACCTCCTTTGAAAAAAGAGGAGTGACATTAGCAAACTTCCAATCCTCCAGTACCTGCCCACTATTCAAGGATTTACAAAAAAACAGTAGCAAATGGCTTACATAGCCAATCCTTAATATTCTTCAAAACTCTTAAGGAAATATTATCTGGCCTAGGATCCTTATTGTTCTTAAAATTTCCCAATTGTTTTTAACAAGCTCAGAATTAATGCAGTCATCTCGTTTCCATTTATTAAGTTTTCAAGATGTGGAATACTGCTTAAATCTTCTTTATTAAAAACCAAAATTTAATAACCCATCAGATTCTAGCCTTCCTTTGTCATCCCTCAAGGGTCCTACCCCCATCCTAACATTTTGTTTACCCTCAATGTATTTAAAGAAATCCTTATTGTTAATTTTTATATTTTCAGCCAACCTCTTATCATACATCTTACTTGATGTCCTAATTTCCTGTTTCACCAACTTTTTTAATATTCTAAATCTCCCATCATACCAGTCAATTTAAATTTCTTAAATTTATGATGCTTTTCTTTAATTTTATCTCTTTATAATATTTGTGAGCCAACCTGTGTTTTTACTTGCAGCTACCCTTTTCTTTGTAAAGGAATATGTTTACCTGGAATATTTAAAAATTTATCTTTAAACATTTTCCACATCTTATCAATTTTCCAAATAACTCAGCTGCCCAAATCACAACAGATAATTCTTGTCGCATCCTTTCAAAATTTGTTTTGAAATTTGTAACCAAAATATCATTATTCCTTATCTCCATATGCAGCAAAACATCGAACATAATACAGCAATGATTACTTGCACCCAGATGTTCTCCAATTTCCACCCTCTCAATTATTTCTATATTTGAAGTTAACAATAAATCTAAAATACCCTTGTTTCTAGTAGGTTCCTTGACTAATTGGTCAAGTTTCCAAAACCTTTCTCCCTCATAGTTTGACTCTAGCATTTCCCAATCTGTGCCTGAAATTAAAATCACCCATAATTATGATTTCATTAACAGCTGAAATCTTAATCTCATTGTAAATTTCTCACTAATTTCATCAGTATCATTTGGTGGTCTGTAACAAATTCCCACTAAAAGTCTTTACCATTTATATCCACTAATAGAAACTCAAATGGATTCATTCTTCTTATTATCTTTGATATCCTCAACTTCAACAGGATGTAACTCACATTTTACATATAAAACCACTCCTACCCCTCTCTTTAGTACTCTATCCCTATTAAATAGCCTGTAACCCTGTCATCAAAATCATCTATGTTTAACCATGTTTCAGTTATTCCCATTATATCAAAATCTTCCATTCCAACCAGTGCTCTAAAGTCATCTATTTTATTTCTTATACTTCTAGCATTACAATAGTAACAATTAAGCCTATCCTTATAACTATTTTTATACTAATTTCCTAGGCTAAACTTTTCTCTGCCTCTTATTCTTTTTGCATTTATATTTTTCTGGTCCTCATCACTGTCTAGTTCTAGTTTAAAACTTCCCTTACAACCGAGTTAATACTAAGAGCTTAAGCAAGCAA